GAAAGTCAGCCATCGTCACTTCAGGGGGTGGGGGCTGTGCTTAGACACTAGTTTCTTATAAAGACGTGACTCAGGAACCGACGGATGGAAGAGATGCACAGGACAAGGGATGGGGAGGGCCCTGAGCTTCCATCCATGCCCTCTCTGGGCTCCCACCCTCCCAGCAGCTCCCCGTGTTCACCAGCCTAGAAATTCTCTGAACTCTGTTCTTCTGAGAGTTTTGTGGAAGCGTTATTATGTAGGCAGGATTGATTAAATCATTGGCCACTAGAGATTAATTTAACCTCCAGCTCCTCTCCCTTCCCTGGAAATTAGGGAGAGGGCTGAAAATTCCAACCTTATAATCACAGGATTGGTTCCCCTGGCAACCTGTCCTCGTCCTGTGGTCACCTAGGGGCTTTCCAGAAATTACATGATTAAAATAAAAGGTGTGGTTGGAAAAAAAAAAAAAAGCCCTGGCTGGTGTGGCTCAGTGAATTGAGCTCTTGCCTGTGAACCAAAGGGCCACAGGTTCAATTCCCAGTCAGAACACATACCTGTGTTGTGGGCCAGGTCCCCAGCAGGGGGCATATGAGAGGCAACCACACATTGATGTTTCTTTCCCTCTCTTTCTCCCTCTCTTCCCCTCTATAAAAATAAATTAAAAAATAAAATCAATAAAAAAATATAAATTAAAAAAATAAAAAGTAAAGTTAAAAGGTATGGTCGAGAGGGACTTTTTATGAATAACAAGACACTCCTTTCACCTTCATTGCTTTGGTGCTGTTTCATAAGCTGAGAATAAAAGGCCAAATATTATAAAAAAAGATGCTCCCATTTCTTTGACCACTCAGAAAACTCCAAGGATTGTAGGAGCTGTGTGCCGGGGGATGTAGACTAAATATATATTCTCATTATAAATCACAATTTCACAAGAGCTCACTCTAATCTAATATAAACTCCTCCACCAACAACAGTCAAGTCCCTCTTTTCCAGATAAGGTAACAGTCTGATGTTCTGGGTGGCTGTGAATTGGGGGGACACTATTCAACTAGTACAGATGCACTGAAAACATCTTCCAAACTGCAGATTACTTTTCACTCTTCTATTGGTGTCTTCTAATGAATAAAACTTCTAAATTTTATGTAGTCCAACTTACCAGCTGTTTATCACCCTCTTGTAGTTAGTGTGTGTGTGTCCCGTTCACAAAGCATGTGGGTTCCCAGCACACAGTTAACTGTTCCTTTAAGCAGAGACTGGTGTGCACGGTGGCAGGATGGCTGGGGATGAACTGAAGGCATGGCGGGCGGTGGGGGGCAGGGGCGGTGTTGCCTAAGGAACAGAACATTCAGGACAAACATGATAATGGCTGTGGAAAGTGCTGTTGGGGTCTCACCCACAGCCTCTCCTGGTTCCCTCTGTGAGCCAAAGTCTGCTCATTGCAGAACCCCCAGATGCAGCCTCAGGGCCTTTTTCCTAATCACAGAGCATGCATGCTCAGCCTACTCAGAGGATAAACCACAAATGGGAGGCACAGCCTGCAGCAAATGCCATCCAGAGGGCTGGGGGGTTAATGTCCCCACTTCCTCATCACGCAATTTGGCTGACTCAGGCTGGTTCTGCCCCGGCTCCCCATAGTGAAACTGGGCTGGAGCTGCTTGTACCGGTAGCCTGCTGGATAACCTGCCTTGTATTGGCACTTGCTCTTCCCTCGCTCCCTGCTTCCCCCTCCTCTAACTGGCTCATTCTGGCCTCACGTCTCTCGTCTCCGGAATTGCTTACACCAGAATCCTTCTCTCACGGCCTGTTCTAGGGAAACCCAAACTGAAACAATGGTTTACAAATCTGCCGAAATCTACCCATAAAAAAGGAATAGAAATTAGGCGCTTTTTTTGTATAAAATTGGGTCAATAAGTAAAAGCAACGGAAATATAGATTTCAGCTAAACTTTTTTTAAGATTTTATTTATTTATTTTTAGACAGAGGGGAAAGAGAAAAACATCAATGTGTGGTTGCCTTTTGTGTACCCCTCACTGGGGACCTGGCCTGCAGCCCAGGCATGTGCCCTGACTGGCCATCAAACTGGCGACCCTTTGGTTCACAGGCTGGTATTCAATCCACTGAGCCACACCAGCCAGGGAAGATTTCAGCTAATTTTTTAAAAAAGGTTTTATTCATTTATTTTTAGAGAGAGGGGAAGGGAGGGAGAAAGAGGGAGAGAAACATCAATGTGTGGTTGCCTCTCACATGTGCCCCCACTGGGGACCTGGCCAGCAACCCAGGTATGTGCCCTGACCGGGAATCGAATCTGGAACTCTTCGGTTACAGAATGACGCTCTAGCCACTCAGCCATACCAGCCAGGGCTTAAATTAAAATGCTGTAAGTCCAGGGTCATATCAGGGGTAGGGGTGACTGAGAACAGTTATGAAACAAGGATTTAAAAACCCCATCTATCCCTTCCTGAGACTCTTCTGGCAAAAGTCACTGCCCTTTTTTAAAACTCACTTTCTTCATTTCAGCCAAATATTTTTTAAAATATATTTTATTAATTATGCTCTTACAATTGTCTCAATGTTTTCTCCCCTTTATCTACCTCTGCTCTGCACCCCTCCCACCAGCATTCCCTCCACCCTTAGTTCATGTCCATGAGTTGTATATATAAGTTCTTTGGCTTCAGCATTTCCTATACTATTCCTAACCTCCCCCTGTCTATTTTGTACTTACCATTTACGCTTCTTATTCCCTGTCCCTTTTCCCCCATTCTCCTGCCTCCCCACTGATAACCCTCCATGTGATCTCCATTTCTGAAATTCTGCTCCTGTTCTAGTTGTTTGCTTGGTTTGTTTTCTTCCTTTTTTTTTTAGGTTCCATTGTTGATAAGTGTGAGTTTGTTGTCATTTTACTGTTCACAGTTTTGATCTTCTTCTTAGATAAGTCCCTTTAACATTTCATATAATAAGGGCTTGGTGATGATGAACTCCTTGAACTTGACATCATCTGAGAAGCACTTTATCTCCCCTTCCATTCTAAATGAGAGCTTTGCTGGATAGAGCAATCTGGGATGTAGGTCCTTGCCTTTCATGATTTGGAATACTTCTTTCCAGCCCCTTCTTGCCTGCAGGTTTCTTTTGAGAAATCATCTGATAGTCTCACAGGAACTCCTTTATAGGTAACTGTCTCCTTTTCTCTTGCTGTTTTAAGATTCTCTCCTTATCTTTAATCTTGGGTAATGTAATTATGATGTGTTTTGGTGTGTTCCTCCTTGGGTCCAACTTCTTTGGGACTCTCTGAGCTTCCTGGACTTTCTGAAAGTCTATTTCTTTTGCCAGATGGGGGAAGTTCTCCTACATCATTTGTTCAAATAAGTTTTCAACTTCTTGCTCTTTCTCTTCTCCTTCTGGTACCCCTACAATTCAGATGTTGGAATATTTAAAGATGTCCTGGAGGTTCCTAAGCCTCTCCTCATTTTTTTGAATTCTTGTTTCTTCATTCTATTCTGGTTGAATGTTTATTTCTTCCTTTTGTTCCAAATCATTGATTTGAGTCTCAGTTTCCTTCCCTTCACTGTTGGTTCCCTGTATATTTTTCTTCATTTGGCTTTGCGTAGCCTTCACTTTTTCCTCTATTTTGTGACCATACTCAATACTTTGTGTGAGCATCTTGGTTACCAGTGTTTTGAACTCTGAATCTGATAGGTTGGCTATCTCTTCATCACTTAGTTCTATTTTTGGAGGTTTGAGCTGTTCTTTCATTTTGGCCATATTTTTTGTCTCAGCACAACTGCTACATTGTAAGGGGCAGAGCCTTAGGTATTTGTCAGGGCAGGGCAACCCTCTTAGCTTTGTTGTGGCACTGTGTGTAGGGGAGGGATCCAAGAGGAAACAATGCTTATTGCTCAGCTCTTGGAAGCTTTCAGTAACTTCCCCCACTACCCACAAACAGATTGTGCTCTTTCAGATGCTGATTTCCAGGTGTGTGGGTTTGTATACCTTTCTAGGATTCTATGGGTCTCTCCAACGAACTTTCCTGAGAGTCTGGGAGTTTCTCCTGCTGCCACAACCCACACAGATTTTTACAGCCAGAGGTTTTGAAGCTTTATTTACCCTTGCTAGAATCCTGGGTTGTGTGATTAGTCTCACTCCTCAGTTGTTCCTCCAGATTTATACACATGCAAATGTGGGAGCACCCAGTGCTTCAGTTGCTGCCCTGCTGCACATCATCTCCACCCTGGCCCATTCCACCCCTCCTACCAGTCTGGATGAATGTTTCTTCTTTAACTCCTTGGCTATTGGATTTTCATACAGTTCAATTTTCTGGCAGTTGTGGTTATTTTTTGTTTTTCAATTTGTTGTCCTTTTGATTATGAAAGGAGGCACAGTGTATCTACCTATGCCTCCACCTTGGCCGGAAGTCTCAGCCAAACCTGGTTAAAATATAGATTCCTCTACCCTCCACTCCCCAACCCCCTCACCAAAGAGCCTGACTCAAGAGGCGCAAAGCAGGGACTGGGAAGATGTCTATCTTTCAGACTCTAGGCAATTGTAGTGTCCTATCAAGGCTTTTGATCCTCTAAACCAGATGAGATAGTTCTGGGTGCCCCCAAGCAGCTCTGGCACTCTGTAGGGGGTGATGTGTGACACTAAGAACACAGCAGGCATATGCCTGGAGCTTTGTTCTTAGATGTCCATTGTCATGGTCAGGCTGCCCTACATACATGTCCTGAGACTGCCCAGACCTCACCAAGAGAAAAGCAATGTTTATAAAGCAAAGAAAGCTTCAGCCCAAGAGCCAGAAATTTCTCAGGAACAACTAATTTTATTGTAAAGGAATTTCAGCCAGTTCACTGGAATTATTCTTTTGTTTTCTTTGTGTTTCCTTTTCAAACAAGGGAGCAGTGACCTAACACTGGGTCAAGTGATTCGGTTACAAACTGGCTCCTCCCCTTCCTCTAGATGACATTGCCTCACTTTTTAATATTCTTCTTAAGGGTATCAGCTTCCTCATTTATACTGGTGTCAAATTCTCAACCACAAGATCATCTGGAATCACCTTCAGGGACTGCTAAGCCCTACAAGAGGGGGGCTGTTTAGACAAGAGGAATTGAGGAGAAGGCTGTGAAGGGCTCAGCTTGGAGCACGATGAAGAGCTTCCCTGCGGCTTCCCTTGTGCTCCTACTTTTCATCCTGAGTGTCCACCTTGGAACTGCCACACGTATGTAGCTGCCACACATTGCTTCCAGGGATGACTAGGAGTAGAAACAAAGAGGTGTCTCCAATCTCCTTCCTCTCCCTTTTTTTTAGGTGGCAGTGATGTGGCCAAATACTGCTGCTTACGATTCAGCCCAAAGATCCTTCCCTGGAAATTGGTGCGAAGCTATGAATTCACTAGGAGCAGCTGTCCCCAGGAGGCTGTGATGTGAGTATTTCTCATTTGGGCTTTTAGGGTCCCTGCCAGCCACGTAATTGGGTGGGTAGAAGGCAGTCTCCTACAGTACCAAGATGAGCCTCCGCGTGGAAACCTGGTAACTTGGTTTATCACCCTGCCTCTGACAAATGTAACAAATATGAGTCTGAGCTTTGATTTCCTAACTTCCATACCGTGTGCCAGGCTGTGTTAAGTACTGAGTTTAAAAGAGAAAATAAGAGCCCTATAGACCTTACATCTAGCATAAGAAAGGGGTCATTAAAAGATATTTGCACAAAATAGATAATCACACTTGTGATGGATGCTTGAAAGGCACAGCAGGAAGGAGAGCAGGAGGGAGCTGTCACTGTAGGGAAGGCAAAACTTTATCTCTGCCCTCTTAGGCTGGGCCTGAGAATTAAATTGACACAGACAGATGAACAGGAGAGAAGCATACAGATTTTTACACATACACAGGAGCCCTCATAGGGAAATGAAGACCCCCCAACAAAAAAAAATGTGGCAAAACCTAAATGCATTTATACTAAGTTGAACAAAGAGAGGCAACTTGTAGAAAAGTATCTAAAATATATGGGGGGGTGGTGGCTGAAGGATGGTGAGAGTTATTTTGACAAGGTCTGTTTCTGCAGAATTGCCTTGGCCTGACTCCCTATCTCTGATAACAAAAATGCTTCTTTTTTACTGGTACGGTGGACATTTTTTTACATGAGAGTTTTATCTCCTGTTTCCAGGAAGAAAGGAGGTCAGAGAGCCCCTCTTGCACCTGATTTTTTAAAGTGCCTTTAGCTAAAAATAATCTTTATGCCAAAGTGGCATATTTTGGGGTGGCATATTCTGCCACTCCTCATTGTAGTCACAGTAGGACCTTGCTCAATGTCAGGAGGTCCCCCTGAGGAAGTGACATTTACATTGAGACCATGAAGACCAGTGAGAGTGGCCCAGGTCAAGGGGGCAGGAAGGAGCAGGGATGTACCAGGCAGAAGGAGCAGCAGGTGAGTGGGGGGAGGATGAACATGTCTTCGACAAGGCAGACGGGTAAATAGGAGCCAGGCCAGGCCAGGCTCATTGGTAGCAGGAGAGGGGACACACGCCTCACAGAGCCTCTGGCAGGACTAAGTGAGATAATGCACGCAAGGCACTCAGTACTGTGCCTACACACAGGGAATGTTTGACAAAAGTTCCGTCAGTGGCAGAATCTGGCCATGTTGCTGCCACATTCGTGGGCAGGGTGACAATCCAGGTTACCAGCATTCAACAAAAACATCTTTAAGTGCAAATACACAGGGAGGGGCAGGTCACTCTTCCCGGGACACGAGGTTTCTGAGCCTGAGAGAATAGTGCAGAAGGGGAAAGAAGGGTCTTCAGAGGCCAACCCGTCTGCCATTGAGAAGTTAAGGACCAGGAAAAGATACTCAAGTGCTTAGATATGAAGGGGGTACCCTGGGGCTCAGGATGTCCTGGGTCTTCTTTGTGTCTCAGTTGGCTTTCTGGAGCTTTAGAGTCATCAACACTTAACTGACAGCTGGCAAAGAGCCCTGAGGTGGGCTCAAAGCAGTGGCTCTGTCACTTACAAGGACAAGCTGTGTGTGTGACCTTGGGCAAGTCAATTTCCCACATTTGTAAAAAGAAGGTGAGAGGCTTATGTCGGTTATCTATGGCTGCTTAACAAACTACCCCAAAACTTAGGGGCTTAATCAACAATGACCTGTTTCTTATCTCTTCACGGTTTTTGTGGGTCTGAATTTCCAGGACAGCTTGGCTGGATGGTTGAAGTCAGATGGTACTGGAGATGGGACAGCTGGGGCTGGTGGCATGTCTCTCTCTTTGGAGCCTCTCTGTTGGGCTAGTTTAGGCTTCCTCACAGTCTGGTGATCTGGCTGGTAGGACTCCTTACAAGGTGGTTCAAGGCTCCAGCATAAGTAATCCAATAAACCAAGAAGCTCCACCATCTTTTCTGACTTAGCCTATGAAGTCACATAGTGTCACTTCTGCCACACTCTGTTGGTTGACCAGTCCCTAAGGCTGGCCTAAATTCAAGAGGTGAGGACAGAGACCCCCATCTCTCAATAGGAGTAATGGCATGCTTTCATACATCCAGAAAGCACTTCCTCTGTCTTATTTTCTCATTCTCCTGGCTCTTCTCCCCTGCGTGTACTGGGGCCTTCCTGAGAGCCCTATAAACTCTGTTGGGCTCTGCAAGGTACTCCAGGCTAGAATGACAGGGTCTAGGCTCTCAGGGAGGCTGAAGGAGATTCAGGGACATTAACCACAACCCCACTTCTTACTGAGATCACAGCAAGAATCAGGAATCATATACAAGAAGTCATGGCAAACAGCCTATGATAATGTGATTAACAATTAAATGGCAGCCCTGGCTGGGTAGCTCAGTTGGTTAGAGCATCCTCCCGATATGCCAAGGTTGCAGGTTTGACTCCCAGTCAGGGCACATACAAAATTCAGCCAATAAATGCATTAATAAGTCAACCAAGAAATTGATATTCCACCCCCCTTTCTTCCTTTCTCTCTGTCTACTAAAAAGTAAAAAAATTAAGTGGCATAAGCCATATAAGTTCCCTTTCTGGGGTGATGCAAATGTTCTAAAATTGTAGTGGTGATGGTTGTGTCTTGCATGTATATGCTAAAAACCATTGAGTGATCATTATACCCTTTAAATGAGTGAACTGCATTGTGTGTGAATTACATCTCAATAAAGTTGTTAGATTAAAATAAAACAGTTAAGAGGCAGGGTACAGGTTACATGCTTCAGACTAGAGCTGTTGGAAAATGCTTCGCTGGCGGGTGGGCCGAGAAACATGTTTCCAGCAGAAAGCATGTATCGGAGAGGAGGGCGGGCCAGGACCAGAAAAGGGAGCAAAGAGAGGGTGACAGAGGCGTGGCAAGGCTAGAAGCTGAGGCAGGCGGCTGGCCCCCCATCCCTTCTCAGTACTGACCATCAGCGCCTCTCTCCCGCAGATTCACTACCAAAAGAGGCCTGAGAGTCTGTGCAGAACCGAAGGAAAAATGGGTGCAAAAATATATTTCTTTACTGAAACCTTGACAACGGTTGTGACTGCCGAGTTTTTAACCCAAGGACACTTGGACCCTGCCATTGGCCCTGTCGTCCTTGGCAGAGCCTGGAGGATTTCTCAACAGAAGGATCCATGGGCCTGGGGGAGAGGAAGAGGTTTTTCCACCAGAGTTTTGTTTAATAAAGGTTTTTTGGTTTTTGGTAAAGATTTGACCTGCTCATTGTTACTCTATAAACCTGACTTTCTTCAAAGAAAAGAAACTGAGTCTATATTTGCAGCCAACTTCCTGGTAGGGCCCCACTCCCCGAACCAATCCCAGTATTGAATTCTGCCTTTATGTTTTCGTGCAGAAAAAATCCCATGGACAATTTTAATATATTTTGGCTAAATGCCCATCAAATGTTTGAACGTTACTTGGACAGGTAAGTTTATGTTACTTGGAAAATTCGGTGTAACACCTCATAGCCTGTTGGTTCTGGGTAAATGAAATGCCTTCGTCTTGGTTGTTTTTTTTTCTTTTTAAATTAATGAAACGTGAATATTATCTACCCACCAACCCTACAATGTCTATGTCTATATAACCTAAAGAAATTTTTTTGAAGATTTTATTTATTTATTTTTAGGCAGAGGGGAAGGGAAGGAGGGAGAGAGGGGGAGAAATATCATTGTGTTGTTGCCTCCCACATGCCTCCCACTGGGGGCCTAGCCTGCAACCCAGAAATGTGCCCTGACTGGGAATTGAATTGGTGACCCTTTGGTTTGCAGGCTGGCACTCAATCCACTGAGCCACACCAGCCAGGGCAGCCTAAAGAAATTTTTAAAAAAATATTTATAGATTCACAAGAAATTGCAAAAATAATACAGAGATTTTGGATGTATGTTTTACCTAGTTTACCCCAAGAGTTATATCTTACATAATTATAATAAACTATGAGACCCAAGAAATTGATATTGGTATAGTGTTTGTATAGTTCTGTCATTTTATTCACATAGACTTCATCACAAACACAGTACAGAAGTGTTCCATCACTACAAAGATGTCCTAGCAGTATCTCTTTAGAGTCACTCCTCACCTCCCCACCATTATTAACCTCTGGCAACCATTACTCTGTCCTCCTTCTCTATAATTGTGTCATTTCCAGAATATTATATAAATGAAATCATATAACATGTGAACTTTTGAGTTTGGCTTTCTTAGGTTCACTCAGTGCATCCAAGCTGTTGTGCATGTCAGTCGTTCATTGTCATTCGCTGGTGGGCAGTGTCATTTATGTTCTGGCCAATGGTGTATGATCCAGTTTCTGGGCATCCTTGCTAGCACTTGGGACTGTCATTATTTTTTATTTTAACTGTTCTAATACTGATAAATCGTCATGGTCATAATTTCCTCTTCCCTATTGGCTAGCAGTATGGAATATCTTTTCATGTGCATATTTTTCATCCACATATCCTCTTTGATGAAATATCTCTAGTGTTTTTGTTTATTTTCTAATTAGATTGCTTGTTTTCACTATTGAGTTTTGCTCTGAGTCCTTTATCAATATGTGGTATGAAAATATTTTTTTCCCAGTCTGTAGTTTGTCTTTTCATTTTCTTAATGGGGTCCTTCACAGACCACAAGGTTGAATTTTGATGAAGTCAAATTTATTAATTTTTCTCCTTTTATAACTCATGTTTTTGGTGTTATCCATATGAATTCTTCACCAAACCGTATGTCCCAAATATTTTTTCTATGTTTCTCCTAAAAGTTCTATAGTTTTCCATTTATATTTAAATCTAGAGTGCATTTTGGGTTAATTTTTGTATAGGTATGAGGTTTAAATTAAGGTTGGTTGGTTGGTTTATTTACCTATGGGTACTTAATTGCTCCAGCACCATTTATTAAAATCACTGTTCTTGCCCTGGCTGGTGTGGCTCAGTGAATTGAGTGCCAGCCTACAAACTGAAAGGTCTCTGGTTCACTTCCTGGTGAGGGCACATGCCTGGGTCGCGGACCAGGTCCCCATTTGGGTGTGTGCAAGAGGCAACCAGTCAATGTTTCTCTCACACATCGATGTTTCTCTCCTTCTCTTTCTCCCTCCCTCACTTCTCTCTAAAAATAAATAAATAAAGTCTTTAAAAAATGACTATTCTTTCTCCATTGAATAGATTTGCACATCAGTTCTTGTGTGTGGCTACTTCTTGCCCATCTGTTCCATAATGTGATAAATTTTTTTCTTTTTTAATTTATTGATTTAAGGGAGGGGGGAGAGAGAGAGAGAGATATCAATTGGTTTTCCCACTTATTTATGCATTCATTTGTGGAGATCAAACTTGCAACCTTAGTATATTGTGAGGATACTCTAACCAACTGAGCTACCTGGCCAAGGCTGTAATCCAACTAATTTTTAAATTTGCATTTTTTATTGAAAAATAATTCACACACCATAAAACTCACCATTTTAAAGTGTACAATTTAGTGATTTTTAGTATGTTCACAAGATTGTGCAATCATCATGATTATTAATTCCAGAATATTTTTACCCCCCCAAAAGAAACCACATACCCATTAGGAGTAACTCCCTATTCTCCTCTCCCTTCAGCCCTAGAAAATACTAATATATTTCTGTCTCTATGGATTTTCATGTAAATAGAATTACAAAATACGTGGCCTTTTGCATCAGGCTTCTTGCATTTGGCATAATATTTTCCAAGTTCATTCATATTGTAGCATATATTAGTTCTTCATTTATTTTCATGGCTGAATAATATTCCATTACATGGATTATACCATCTTTTGTTTATCCATTCATTAGTTGAAAGACATTTGGGTTTTCCCCACTTTTTGGCTATTAACATGGATGTACTAGTTTTTGTATGAACATATGTCTTCATTGCTTTGAGTATATATGTAGAGATGAAATTGCTGGGAATATGGTAACTCTGTGTTCAACAACTTTTTGAGAAACTACCCCAAACTGTTTTCCACAACAACTGCGTCAGGTTCTATTGCTACCAATAGTGTATGAGGATTTCAATATCTCTATATCCTTGTCAACACTTGTTATTGTCTATCTTTTTAATGAGTTATCCTAGTAAGATGTGAAGTGGTATCTCACCGTGATTTTAATTTTTATATCTCTTATAATAAGTCATATTGAGCATCTTTTCATGTACTTATTGGCCATTTGTATATCTTCTTTGGAGAAATGTCTACTCAAATTTTTTACTTTTGTCTTTCCATTTTTGAGTTATAAGGGATCTTTATACTCATATATTCTAGAAACTAGACCCTTACTAGATATATGGTTTGCAAATATTTCTCCCTGTGAGTCGTCTTTTCATTTTCTTGATAGTGCCCACTTAATGCACAAAATTTGTTAATTTTTATGAAATCCACTTTATTTTTTTTCTTTGGTTGCTTGTGCTTTTAGTATCATCTAAGAAACCACTGCCTAATCCAAGACCTGGAGATTTACACTTATATTTTCCTGTAAGAATTCTATAGTTTTAACTTTACATGTAGGTATTTGGTCCCTTTTAAGTTAATATTTGTATATGCTATGAAGTGGGTGCAACTGATTTTTGCATGTTGATCTTGTTTTCTGAGACCTTGTTGAACTCACTGCTTAGTTCTAGGAGTTTTAGATAGATTCCTTGAAATTTCCTAAGCACACAACTGTGTCAATTGCAAATAGGGATAGTTTTATTTCCTCCTTTTTGATATCTATGTTTTTGGGGGATTTTTCTTTTCTTTTTGCCTTCTTATACTGGCTAGAATTTCAAGTACTATGTTGAATAACAGTGTTGAGAAGGGACATCCTTGCTTTGTTCACAGTCTCAGGGAAAAAGCAGTCTTTCATCATTAAGTATGATGTTATTTGTATTTGTTGATTTTTTTGTAGACTTCTAAAAAAATTAAGTTGAGGAAATTCCCCTCTTTTCCTATTTTTCAGTTTTTCTGCATCAATATGATTACACGATTTTTTTTTTTTTAGTCTGTTAGTGTGGTGGATTACATTGATTGATTTTCAAATATTGAGCTAGTCTTGCATCCCTGGAATAGACCTCACTTATCATGCTGTATAATTCTCTTTATGTATTGCTGAATTTAGTTTCGAAGATTTTGTTAGGAATTCCTGCATCTATATTCATGAGGGATATTGGTCTATAATTTGTTCTCTCTCTTTCTCCCTCTCTCTCTCTCTCTCTCAGCCTCCCCCCCATCTTGTCTAGTTCTGGTATCAGGGTAATTTTAAATAAAATTAATTGGGACATGCTCCTTCCATTTCTACTTTTGGTAAGAGATTATATAGAATTGATATTAATTCCCTTTCCTTCATTTTTTGGTATGAATAATTTTAATTTCTTTAAATGCACACATATTTAAATACATTGTTTATAAACACTGAGAAAGAAAAATGAATCAGTTTATATCATCTGAATGTGGAACATTTAATAATTTTAAACAAATATTTATTTAATTTTTGGAATTCTGTTTAATATGTATTTCAGTTTATAAAGTCTCCTATAAGAATTCTTTTTAATGGGCATAAACCATTATACTTTAAATCTAAAAGGTATGAATACATTCTAAGTTTAAATGAATTTTCATTGGATTCCATTTATTTTTATATTTCCTGACGTTAAAATAGAGATCATTGGTAGGCTTGACTGGAATCTAATATCTACTTTTTTAAACACCCTGTTAGGTTCTGGTATAAACTCAGTTTGGAGATCCAGTGGTGTGGCTCACCTCCCTAATGTTATGGATGAGGAAACTGAGGGTCAAGCTAGTTGTCAAGGAGCTGGGATAAATAATGGAATATCAGACAGGTCCCTAGGAAACCCCAAAAGAAGATTCTGATAAAGAACAAACTTCCTTTACTTTTATTTACTGTATTTTAATTTTTTATGTTGATGAAGATACATATTCACTACAGAAATTCATATGTAGTATAGAAATGTTTAAAGAAGATGCAAAATTCACTAAAACCAAATCACCAATAGACCACCATCACCAAAGTTTGGTAAATATCCTTTCAGATCTCTACCTAGGTGTGTATACAACTATGACATGGTGCTGATAACGCTCCAGTTTTACCTGTGGAAGAGGTCTCTGCCCTCCCCCCCCAGGTGTGCACTATATCCTACTGCCTGCTCAACATCTCCCCTGGGATGTTAATTGATGTCTCACACT